GCCATTTTCAGAAATAATTTTACCAAGGTATTTTACCTCTTTAACTTTAAACTGTATTTTATCCTTATTAAATTTTATATTAAGCTGCTTCGCCTGCTCAACTACTTTTTCCAAAATTTTTTCATGTTCTTTCATAGTATTCGCCGCGATTAAAATATCGTCTATAAAAACAATAACGTGTTCCATATCGCTAAAATTTCGTTCATTGTACTTTTGAAATACCTCTGATCCGATTTTTATACCGTAAGGTAAGCGCTTGAATCAATAGCACCCAAACGAGCTGTTGAATATGCAAGTTTCGCTGGCCTTTAAACTCAAACCAATCTGCCAAAAGCCTTCTTTCAAATCAAGTACTGTGAAGTATTTCTTACCTGCTAATTTTGCAGGTAAGAAAGATATTTCTTGCAAAATTTCTTCATTAATATCCTGCGGATCAGTGCACAACCTTAATTGACCTTTTTTCTTTTCCACTATGACTAAGTTTGATGCATGTTCCACCGATCCATCGACTCGTTCAATAACGCCTTGATCAACCACACGTTTCAATTCAGATTTTACACGGTTTGTCAAAGCTAACGGTATTCTGCGAGCGGGTTTTACACCCGGTGTATAGTTCGCTCTCAATTTTATTGTACGAAACAGCCCAAGCCTTCAAAAATATCTGCGATTTTTTGTATAAACTGATTTTTTCCACCTGTTTGTATTGAATCAATTCGTTTTATTAAATTTAATTTTGAACAAGCGTTTAAACCCAAAAGCGGCTCATATATGGTATCAATAACATTAAATCTTAATATTGTAACTTCATAACGACACATAACTGTGCAATTAATAGTGCCTATATACTTAAGATTTGACCCTACATATCTTTTTGGCGGTGCAACGTTTGTTTCCATAACAGAATTTTTTATATATTTCAAATAGCGTAACGGCAGAACATTCACATCAGCCCCTGTTTCTAATTTAAATTTTATAAACAGTCATTTACGCGAATTTTTTCATACCATCGTTTTCTTTCACTAGATGTTTGGCATACACAGTTCAAAAACAAATCATCATTTTGTAAGAGTGAATTGCCTTCTCGAATCTCTCTTATCTTTGTAGAAAAACAAGCTACGCTAAAATGATCACAGCGACCACAGTTATTACAACGTTTGCCGAACGCAGGGCATTTTTTGTATAGATGTGTAGACTTACAGAATTTGCAATTCTTTATTTGATCTTTTTCTTGGAATTTTTGCTCAATATTTTTGCTCAATATTAATAACTGTTTTGCTTACCATATCAACTGATGAATATTCAGTATTTCGTTGTTGTTTTACACTTTGTTGTTGTAAGTCAGTTGCTTGGCCTTGAATAAGTTCAAAATTGCGTGCTATTTTAATTGATGTTTGTTAAGATAAATTTTCTTCTTCTAATAATTTTTTTGTAGTCTGCAATTATTCGCACTTATAACAATTTTATCGTCAACATTTGCCGTATCGGCTGCGCCATGTGTTATTCGTATACATGCTCAGCAACAACTGAACTCTTTATTCTTTATTCTTTATGCTTATGTATAATGAGAACATACAATTATGTGTATATAACTAAATATAAATTTACATATATTACGTTGAAATAAAAATTTGAAAAATGTAATTAATTAAATGAATCATACACTTACCTGATTTATTTATGAATTATATTTCTATTTTTTTAAATTAATTTTATATTTATTAAATTAATATTTATTAAGAATTAAATTAAATAAATTAAAAAAATCAAAAGAAGCATAGAATGCAATTTTAGTCACATTTTGCAATAATCTGCCAAAAATATTCGCCGCAAGAGAAGCTTAAAGAGACGCAAAGTGCACAAGCAGAACGGCAAGTAAACAAGACTTGCGTGAGATCAGCTGTAAATAAAATGATACGCTACGAAAAAAGCTCGGTTGGTTGAGTATTTAAGACGCGCATTTTTGTTCAGACGGCGACTTGTAAAATATTTACTAAGGAACATACACATGAGGATTACAAGTTCTAATTAGCACTAGTTGCATTAAATTAATTTCGATATAAAGAAATTAGTGACATGAAGGAATATCTTGTATTAACAATTATTAAACTGCGATCGGCTGTGGTACGCCTACTGCAAGTAAAATAATTTTTAATTTAAACATAAAGGAATATATCCATATCAGGATATATTCACCCGAAGGAATATCTTGTGTGTACAATTATTGCACTGCGATCGGCTGTAGTACGCCTACTGCAAGTGAAATAATTTTTAATTAAAACCCAAAGGAATATATCCATATCAGGATATATTCGCACGAAGGTATTCAATCAGATATATATCGATACGACCGGCTGTTACACGTTTTAAAATAACAGCTTTGAAGAACACATCACCAGTACCAGATCTACACCAGGACATCCAAGACAAGTACTGTGCTCCGAATCGATTAGGATGAACCTAATAATATCATTTTTAATTATTTCGTTATTGTGTATTTTTTTCTTATTTGAATTATAAAATTTTTAATTATAATAAAGCCTAAACTTTATAAACAAAAATCACTTCTTTGAGTATTTTGGTCGCAATTAAAAATTTATTGTGACAATTCTGGACAGGCTGACCATACCTCAGCAAATAAACAACGACCCCAAGAAAGAATCGTTACAATATATACATACATATATATATATATTTTTTTTTGTTTTCTATATATTATATGTATTTTCTTTTAAATAAAAGTAAAACTCCATCGATTCGTTTGATTTGTCTTTATTGAATGTATATCATGAAAATAATAACTTATGTCTAAACCTTAAGATTTGAACATCACTTCCAGTTTCGTATCTAAACATTACCAAAAAAGGCAATGTTTCACAAAAGATATATTAATGCTGGATTTGTAATTTGCAGGTGTCTTTTTCAGCCTTTATTCTACTGAACTTATGTTTACAATAAAATAGAAGTATTGCTCCCAATTGAAATTAATTTTACATTAAAATAGAAGCGTTGATTCGAATTGAGATTATGCTTGCATTAAATTAGAAGTGTGGAAGTGTATGCACTACATTATATATTTAAGTTATATCAGTCAGAGGTATGACTATCACTTATATATATATATATATATATATATAAATAACTATATATATATAGTTATAGAAGAAGTCGAAAAATTTTCGAGTGGCGATTTTTAGCTGAATTTCATTCAAAAAAAAAGCGTCATTGTGATATGGCCAAAGAGATGATTTCTAACGCAAATAGTGGCCCCACATTTATCAAACGTATCATAACTGATGATGAAACATGGGTCTATGAATTTGACATGCCCACCAAACAACAATCGACTGAATGGTGCTTCGAAAGTGAGCCGAAACCAAAAAGAGAACGCCAAAGTCGGTCTAAAATCAAGGTTATGCTGACTGTTTTCTTCGATATTCGTGGTGTGGTATACTATGAATTCCCTCCGCACGGTCAAACGGTGAATACGGAGTATTATTTTGCTGGTATACGTCGTTTGCGTGGGCCCATTCGCAAAAAAAGACCAGATTCATGGGAGGAAAACTCATGGATTTTACACCACGATAACGCACCGGCTCACACAGTGTTGGTTGTGTCGCAGTTTTTGGCTAAAAACTCCATCAATAGCTGCGTTTCAGCAAACATGATCCGCTCAATGATATGAATCATCTTTGCTGAAACGATACGGATCACGTTTGAAAATAATTGGCAACGCATGAAATATGCCAGTTGGGTTTGTGTACAAAATTTTTTGATTTATGTGAATAATTTTGGCGCTAAAAAAATAAGTGAGAAAATTTTGAATACAAAAAATCTAAAACTTGGAAAATAAATAAAATCTGTTGAAATGTCTGAAGTATGAAATGTAAGTTTTTATTTAGTATTTACTTAAAAACTTAAATTTAATTCTATAGTAAATAAATGGAAATTGCAGATTTTATTAGAATTATCGAGCAAAACTGACTCCTCCATTTTCTTTTTAAACACTAGTCCAAGTGTATTAAGCTGAAGGGATGAAGTGCATCAGCATGGATATAGTGGAAATTTTATGGAAACGATCAATAATTGTTCCGTTAAAGATTATTTGATTGGTATTTGCGCATATAAAATACAATTGCTATATATTAATTATGTTTCATATTCTAATAGATTTGTTAATAAAATCCAATCAGCAAATACAAAATAACCGTGGTGGTCACAATTGGACGAGAGCAATGAAGAAAATTTACATATTTTTGTGGTATATGGCAAATATAAATACTTTTCGCGAATTTGGTATTTGTTTTGGCATACCAAAAGCTTCTGTATGGAGAATAATTGAAAGAACTAGTGTTTAGCTTATATCAATTGCAAAATTTCCGTTCGTGATTGACAGCACACATGTTAAAATAAATGCACCTCACCATAGCAATTAGGCTTATTTCAAAAGGAAGCATGAATATAGCTTAAACTTGCAAGCAGTTTGCGATGGTTTTTTTATAAACGTGCTGGCTTACCCCATTGTTTTTGTTTTGCATGTAAAATTGAGCGGATCATGTTTGCTGAAACGCAGCTAATATCATCAACCAAGCACCGTAATTTCCAGATATGGCCTCGTGTGACTTTTTCCTCTTTCCTCTTCCGACTCAAATTGCCATTGCGAGGAACACGTTTTGAGACCATAGAGGCTATAAAAAAGAATTCGCTGCTTGAACTAAAAGCCATACCTTCGACGGCCTATAAAACTTGTATGGAAAGTTGGATCAAGCGTTGGAATGTGTTACAGCCATCGTAGTTGACGTTGGCTAATGAAATGTCAAATACAATAAAACATGTAATATTAAATAAATGGTTGTGTATGTGAATGAAAGGTGAAGTATTCACATGTCTAATTTACTACTCTAATAGTTGCCATCGTTGAACTTAAGTCAAAAATATTTGTACTACTCTAATAAATTGGTGACGAGGATAAAAAGAAAAACGAGTAAAATTGATGAAACGAAATGGTGTTAATGACTGGTGATAATTCAAGTGAAATTGTATCGTTTTCAACATTAAATATGGCCGCAGCGTTCAATTTTGAGGCCTTTAATCCGGAAGTTATGACTTGGATCCGGTGGGTAAAACGGTTGAAGATTGCATTAGAACTGTTTGGATGTGATGTTACAAAAAAGCATCAATTCTTATTGCATTATATGGGTGCATCAACATACAATGTGCTATGTGACAAATTGTTGCCAAAAACACCAGAGGAAAATACATATAAACAAATCGTACAGATTTTAGATGAACATTTTAATCTAACGCCAAATGATATTTTGGAAAACTACCGGTTTCATTTGCGAAAACAAAAAGCAGAAGAAACGTGTGAAGAATTTTTATTGGAACTGCGTAAATTGGCTGTGCATTGCAATTTCAGAACGTATTTAGACACTGCATTGCGAAATCAATTTGTTTTTGGTTTAAATAACCAAAGAATACAAAGCAAAGAAAACAGTAAAATTGGAAGACGCAGTTAAGATAGCAACGGCATACGAAGGAGCGGAAAAGGGTGGAATGAAATTACACCGAACCGTACATCAAAGTTCTGCAGAAATGGTAAATAAAATACATGGTATTAAACGAAGAGGTTTAAAAACCAGTAACCAAAATTTGCAACTATCAATTAACATATCTGAAGCTAAGAAAAAATGCTACAGACGTGGCAGTCCTACACATTTGACAAAAGAATGTAAGCATAGAAATACGATTTGTCATTTTTGCAAAATAAAACGACATTTACGAAAAGTGTGTATGTTTATACGTCACATAATAATGAAAAACCATGTGGAGAAATAGCGAAAATAGAAAAAGACAAAGAAGAAGCAAGTGAAAAATTATACTGCATGTTTAACGTAAATGAAATACCAATTAACTTTGAGGTGGACACTGGAACACCGGTGTCAGTAATGAGTTTAGATGATGGCAAAAAATATTTTAGTAAGTTAAAGCTCAAAAAGAGTGATTTGCAACTTTATAGCTTCTGCAAAACACAGTTGGATTGTATTGTATATGTAGAGGTGAGTGTTATATGTGTAAATACAACAAACACTCTTAATCTATATATTATTCGTACTCAACACAAACCACTGTGTGTCTGCGAATGGATTAAAATGCAAAAAGTAAACTTGCAATAAGGAATATCTACGAAGGTGGTCATTAAACAAATTACCGATATGAAGTCTAACTGCTTACAGATATGGAAAAAAAAATTTCCAAACTTATTTTTATCTACATTGGGCAAAATTAGTGGTCATCAAGCACGGCTGTACGTTAAACCAAATTGCGTGCCGAAATTCCTGAAACCAGGAAGAGTGGCGTTTTCGTTATGGGAGGCAGTTCAACGTGAATTGGAGGACATGATACAACAAGGCGTGTTCGAAAAAGTTGACCGTAGTGAATGGGCTACACCGTAGGTGGTAGTACCAAAAAGGAAAGAAACAGTGCGCTTAACATTGAATCCAGGTTTGGTGATAGATGAGCATCCACTGCTAACAATCAATGAATTGTTCAGTTTGATGAGCGGTGGAGACAAATTTTCAAAACTTGACTTATCAAAAGCCTACTTGCAATTGGAAATCCATCCGAATGATCGACACTTGCTTACACTAAATACTCATAAGGGACTTTATCAATCTACACGACTGATGTTTGGTGTTGCTTGCGCGCCAGCTAAATGGTAACGATTCATGGACAGGCTAATCAACGATATACCAGGTGTCTCAGTGTTTCTTGATGATATCAAAGTAACAGCACCAGATGATGAAGTCATGCGAAGACTTAACGCACACAACATGCGAGTGAATTGGGATAAATCGGAATTTTTGGAGGACAGAAATATTGTGGTTACATTATTGATCGTAATCCGTAAAATGGACAGCAAAATAATGGCTATTTAAGAAATTAAAAAACCAAAGAGTAAGGACGAGATACGTTCATTTTTGGGGTTAGTAAATTATTATGGAAGATTTATTCAAAATTTAAGTAAAATTGTATATTCATTAAATCGGTTGCTCCACAAGAATGCGAAATTTAATTTTGACGAACAATGTGAAAAAGCATGTGTAGAAGTAAAAAAATAAATTCAATCGGACATTGTTTTAACACATTACAATCCCAATTGACCAGTCGTACTAGCAGTGGACGCAAGCCCGATTGGTGTAGGAGCGGTACTAAGCCATATTTGTCCAGATGGATCAGAGCGTCCGATACAATTCGCATCGCAAACCTTAAATAAAATTCAGCAGCGTTGTAGTCAATATGATCAAGAAGCATATGCTATTGTATTTGGAGTACGTCGTTTTTATCAATATTTATTTTGGCGAAAATTTATATTAGTCACAGATAATAAGGCAATTTCACAAATATTTGCACCGGACAAAGATTTACCGACATTATCAGCTACGCGTATGCAGCATTACGCTATTTTTTTGGAATCGTCCAATTTGGAAATAAAACTGAAAAAATCGACAGATAACGACAACACAGATTCATTGTCAAGTTACCCAGACCAGCCAGAAACATTCGAGAATATTGAAGAAACTGATGTCATCGAGTTGGAATCCATTGGAAGCTTACCTGTAATGGTCAATGAATTAAAAAGAGCGACGGAAGAAGAGAAAGAGCTGAAAAATCTCTTACATTGTTTGAAGTATGGACGTGAATGTGCCATTAAAAAACGATTTGGTGTACCGCAAGTTGAATTTTCATAACAAGAAGGTTGTCTATTGCGAGGTGGTCGAGTGTACATTCCAATGAAATTAAGACAACGGCTACTAGTGCAGTGCCTACTGCTGGTGGCCGCGGATGGATGTCGATATTGATCGATTAGTGTCAAACTGTGCTGCATGTCAAATTACAAGGACTGAAGTAAAAAAGTAGAACTAGTACATTGCTGGTTGCGACCAAGAAAAGTATTTGAGCGAGTGCATGTGGATTTCGCTGGGCCAATTCGCGGAAAATATGTTTTTATATTGGTAGATGCGTATAGCAAATGGCCTGAAGTGCATATAATTTCAAACATTACAACAGAAACTATGATATCAGTGTGCCGTGAAATCTTTGCAACGTTATGCTGAGTGCTATGTTGACCGTTGACCGCTGCTGCGTCAGGCCAGTCCAGTCCTTTTCACGAAGTCACCAAAAATGTCTGATCAAAACGTTTTAATCAACTGTTTGCAGCTACTAAACACTTCAATCCAGTACTTATGTTAATTCTATCAAAACAAAAAAATCACTGAATGCTTGAACCCAGTGATTTCGACGATGATCCTAATCATCCTAATCACTAAACACTTAAATCCAGTGATTAGGCTCTTATGTGACGTAAATTTAGTACTTGAACTAAATTTACAAAGCTAATAGAACAAATAAAAGAATCAATGACGAATGTGGCTTCGCATCAATTGAATTGTCAACAATTCAATTGTGCCTTTTATTTAAAAATTAATAATCAATTACAACAAATAAATTAACTAAAATAACCTTGACCATGCATGCCAAACAATGAACTTGTTACAAACTGCAAGAATGCATATTCTTGCAGACGAAATTTGACGCTTTTGTTTATATATGCAAACAAACGCGTGTGACATGTTTTGGGTATTGCATTGACAAAGTTATTTTTTACAATAAAATATATTTCAAACAAATTATTAAGACAAACATATTATTTAATACAATATAATCAAATTATTACAAGCAAAGTAATACAAACAAAAAAATTTACACAATTCATATAATATAACATTAAACAACGCATGTATATGTATCATGGTGACATGATGCTAAAGATTGCAATAACTGGCGTGGCATCACATTGTTCCCTACACCAAGCAAAATGCTTAGTTGCATCATTCTATATGGAATTTCTGATGCAGTTATAGCCACTCTTCGCGAAAA